GTGTTGATCCACAAATTGGTCCTGTTCCACGGGTGATGAGCTGCCAGTCCACAGTGACTCCACCACAGCTTCAGGGACCGAATATGGTACTGGTCCCTGGCACCCAGAGGTGGGCAATGCCAGTCCACCACATCAAATAGTTTGAGAAACACTGGCTTAATATACAAGTGCTGGGACCAGAATAAGGATTGAAGAGACAAAGTACTTTCATTCACACAAATAATAATCTCTGCTCCATACCACTGGTAAAATGATACACAATGTATTCAAGCAAACTTACATAATCAAGATTTGTTACTTTTAATAATAATAATAATAATAATAATAATGTCAATGTACAACCTGTGTACAATGAAATTTTACTGCAGATTGTATGACAAGCTAACTTATTGTTTCTACACTTTCCCTAATAAATAATCTTCCACACTTTCCCCCCCTTTCCCACTTTTTTTTAAACTAAGGAGATAGTAAAATAAAAGTTGCTTTTTTTCATCCAATACAGTGGACGCTGGGGTTGCGAACGTGATCCGTGCGGGAGGCACGTTCGCAACCCACAGCGTTCCCAACCTGCAGTGCCGTGACTGCGCACGCGCACGTTGCGATTCGGCGCTTCTGCGCATGCGCAAAGCGCGATTTAGTGCTTCTGCACATGGTCCAAAACCCAGAAGTAACCTGTTCCGGTACTTCCAGGTTCGGCATGGTGCGCAACCCAAAAACACGCAACCTGAAGCATCTGTAACCCGAGGTATGACTGTACAAAGAAACACCCTCTTGGTTTTAAAGATCACAAGCGTAGTCCTCTGTGCACCTATATACACCTTACAGAAAAGTTATTATCAATAGTAGCTTCTGATGGACAAAAAGAAAATGGCAAAAAGTTGCAAAAAGGAAAGTTGGTAACAGCTGTCAATATTGTTGTTATGGTAAAGGTACCCCTGCTCATACGGGCCAGTCGTGTCCGACTCTAGGGTTGCGCACTCATCTCGCTTAAGAGGCCGGGAGCCGGTGCCGTCCGAAGACACTTCCGGGTCACGTGGCCAGCGTGACGAAGCTGCTCTGGCGAGTCTGCACCAGCGCCGCACACAGAAACGCCGTTTACCTTCCCGCAATAAAGCGGTACCTATTTATCTACTTGCACTTAGGGGTGCTTTCGAACTGCTAGGTGGGCAGGAGCTGGGACCGAACGACGGGAGCTCACCCCGCCCCGGGGATTCGAACCACCGGCCTTGCGATCAGCAAGTCCTAGGCACTGAGGTTTTACCCACAGCGCCACCCGCGTCCCTGTTGTTATGGTACATGAATATAAATCAAGCCAACATTAACAGTTTCAGTTCAACCACATGTAGAAATTGATTGCAGAGTTTACCTTGCATTAACTGCCACTGAACCTGCTTGAATTTCAGTGAGAGGGGTGGTGGTGGTGAGAGAGATGAAGTAAAAATATCCTCAAAACACAGAGCATAAAGCAAGGTTAATGTTCTGTCACAAATCTGAAATAGGTAAGAGTTGCCCCGAGAGACTTTTGTGCCTTTTAAAAAGTTGAAACAGAACTGTTTCACCAAGGGTAGAATTTCCTATCAAAGGGCAAAAGGATGGGGGAAGGTGCAGCTAGCAGCAGACAGGTGTCTTCTTCAGGGTTTGGGTACAAGAATGGTCCTGGGTGAGAGATCCCACAAGACAGCAACAGCTAGGGAAGGGCCCCTTACCCTTGAACAGTACTGAGACCAGGACAAGACTCAAGTCAACACATGCACACATGTTCATACCATGGAACCAGCACCACACTGTGCCAGGGAAGGGTGTAGGAAGAACACAAGAGCCTGTATCAACAACACATTCAAACCATTAGTGCATCATGTGTTGCTCTAGATGGCTTGGCTTTTGCCTGCTTATTGGTGTCTAGACTGCCAAACAAGTTACAACATGGAAAACTGTTAGGCATGAAACCTAAGTGATGGCATGAAACCTAAGCGACTGCAATTTAAGTTTGCCATTTGCTCCTACACTCCATTTTTAAAACCAGCTAAATGAAAACTTTATGGCTTCAGTATCCAACCAGCTTTCTCTCCCCCTCACACCCCAATTTGTGTTCACCATCCAGTCTGATGCATTTGTCATCTTAAAAGCTTCTTCACAGTTTTCTGACATTTTTGTTGGTCCTAACAAAGGCACTGCTTGACTATGGATTTTGAAATAGCATTCTAGACACAGTTCAAAAGAACAGATAAAAATCACTATTAAAATAAAAACACAACTGTACAAGTATAGCTTTCTGTTGGGAAGGGCTGGAATGTAGGTTTTCCATTTGCTATCTTTTACATTACCCACTGCCCCTTTTGCTAAATAAATAAAATGTGACCGATGTGGAAATAAGGCAGGAAAAAACTGGATTAAACAAGCCCAGTAAAGTGAATGAAAAGGATCTAGTCGTCATCATTCAAACGAGGGGAGGAGATAAGAATGAGAGAAAGCTGGTTTGGAAAGCTAGTGCCTCTGTCTGCAAGACATTTGCCAGTGCTTGCAAGACACTTGCTCAGTTCTCAAAGACCACTTTGCTAATCTTCCCAGACCTGTTCATAGAGGGATTAATTTAAGGGATAGATCTATGGACTCTACTCAAAAAAAGCCCATGCCGTACTAAATTTGCTACTGTTTAAGGTGCTGTAAGGCTTGGTTACCCCATCATTTAAGGATGGCTGGCAGTGCTCGTCTGTTCCAGCAATCAATCTCTTGTGCTACCTTAAAGATTAACCATTTTATTATGCCATACATTGTCATGGACTAGAGTCCACTTCATCAAAACACATGAAGTGTTAGATAGTACTTAACTGGCAAATTCAGTACAATTATATGCATGGCTGTAGAGTACTGTATGCATATCTATAGAGTTGAAGAGGTGCATATGTATATACTTGCCAGTCCAGGATTACACTTCATGCATCTGATGAAATGGACAGCAGTCCAAGAAAGCTTATGACACAATAAAATTGTTAGTCTTTAAGATACCACAAGAATATTTGTTGCTTTTGTGGCAAACAATGTTGAAGTGGCTACTCTTCTAGAAATAGTTACAAAGCTTTTCGTTATACCACAGTTAACGCATTCACAGTCATGAACACCAAGTGATCCTTACTCTCTCATAAGATGCACTGGGAGAGAAAAGTCTGAGCAATCTGTAAGTGCACAAACACAACGCAGGACTCTGTGTTAACTAATCCAAACTAAATAACTACTTGGTCACCAGAGCTTCCACCTCACTCACAGCTGTGCAGCTTTTCAGTGACAAATTACTGGAAAGGCATTAAGAGGTAATCAGCATTAATTGACCTGGGCTAGAAGCTGCAGTCACCAGGCTCCTTTAAGTTTTCTGGAATTTCCACTTGTTCAAACCCACATCGTACACCTCCACAAAAAGTGGGAAATGTACAAACAAGTCCAAACCATTAAGAGAACCCACAGAGAGGGCAGCTCTCCCTAGCTATCACAGGTGAGCATGATAACCCACAGCTGCATCACTCTCTCCTCCTGCTCCAGAGAATGGTGCCCATCCAGCTCCCTGAAACAGACTAGCCCATCTCAGCTGCCACTGCTCAGCAACCCATCCCCGACCACAAGATTCACGCACACAGATGAGGTCTAAATGGAGTCCACTTACACAAATCCACATCTTTCTGAGACAGTGCCTATCCTTGCCGGTGGTGCAGCTACATAACGATCCATTATTTTTACTAGAATCCTCATAACTTCAGAAACTGCACATGCACACCACAATGTGTCTTTTCCTCTCTCCCCCTCTCCTCAGAACCAAACACCTATTTAGATTAGGGTTACCAGATGCCCCCGTTTCCCGGGGACAGTCCCCAGATTTGCAAATCTGTCCCCGGACAAATTCCGTCCCTGGAATGTCCCCAGATTTGCAAATCTGTCCCCGGGAAACATGGCAGCGGCAGCCTCAGCAGCCCGGAGCCAGCCTGGTAGCACAGTTGGCTCTGGTTGGCTTCAGGAGCTGCTCGCTGCCGTGGCGCAGGAAAAATGGCAGGCGCCACAGCAGCGAGCAGCTCCTGAAGCCAGCCAGAGCCAACTGCACTACCAGGCTGGCCCCTCCTGGGCAATGGCTGCCCACCAGTGATTCCCCAGCCTCCCCTGATCTGTCAAAACAAAGGGGGAAGGAGATCAAGGAAGGCTTAGGAGTCATGGGCGGGCAGCGCGCCGTTGCCCAGTTTTATAAAAAAAACTGCGCATTTAAGTTTCACAGGGTGTGAAAGAAGGGCTTTGCACCTTTATACAATATGCATGTGTGCTTGGGCCCAGGGTCTTTTGCCTCACCATCCCCACTACTGACTTCCTGTTGCTACTCAACTTCAAAAACAAAAAAGTGTCCCCGATTCATTGAAAAAAATCTGGTAACCATAATTTAGATTGCCTATAATATTCCGCAACGCGCTGTCAACTGATGGTGTTCTATAAAAGAGCCCAGTCAACCACAACCTCTTAAAGTCGTTCGCCCTCGAAATTAAACAAACAAACCCAATTTGGCTCCACTCATTCCTGCTCAGTATGCTTCTAGCTCTCTTTCTCCAGCACCACGCCGCCTGGGTCCCGCTTCCCGTCCTTCCCACATCCCTGACAGGGCAGACCTGGACCCTCAAAGGCTGCAACTACATGCACGCTTTTCCTAGCAGCAAGCGCCGCTGAGCGCAGAGGGTCTTGCTTCTGAACAAACACGTATAAATAAGAGCGGGAGCTTGCGCTGTACGTCCCTAATGTAGAGCCCAGCAAGGAGACCCCTCGCTCCAGAGACTTTCCTTCTGCTCTGCAGCGTAAACCAATAGCCCCAACCGCAAAGCCATTGCCTTGCTCCTGTCTGCCCGCAGTTTAGCTGCAAGACAGTCCGTGGGTAAGTCAGTCGGTCGACGTCCCCCCGCCGCCCCGCTTGAGAAGCTTGCGCCCTTTTCCCGCCTTACGGCCGCTCGCTCCCCGGGCTCGAAGGGCTCACTCACCGCAGGTAGCTGCCTGTCGAGTGCTGGTTGTAATGCTCCGGCTGCGTGTGCCAAAACAGCATCTTCTTCGACGGCTGCTGCTACCGCTGCTGCTAAGCTTCGCTCGCCCGGTAGCCCTAAACCCAAAATCCCCTACACGTCGAGGCGGGCTACGAACCCCGAAAGCTGAAGCCAGCCCAAGACCAAACTGCGCGCACTCGGCAGCCGGCGCCTCTCCGCGCGCTTTTATTGAGCAGCCGCGTGATCCGCTGCTTGGCCGCTCCCAGGCGCTGAGGTCAGCCGCCGGCCTCTCCTCTCCGCCGCGCGCTCTCCCCGCCTCCCGCCGCCGCCGCCGCCGGCCCGCTCCCCGCCACTCCGGGCCGCGCGACTGGGCGCCAATCCCCAGTCGGCTGCTGTCCGAGGCGCAGGTGGAGAAGCTGAGGCGGAGTTACGGAAGTGGAGTTGGGGAAGATGACCTCACGGAAATGGAGGAGCCGCACAGACTGCCTTCTTCCGAGGTTTAATGTATATCACTATTATTTATCTTCGCCGCCCCCCCCCACCCCAGCCATCTTGCCTCACGAAGTCTACCCGGATGCTGAACTGGAAAATTTGCCACCCCACTGCTAAAGGCAGTGCTTTTTCTGTTGGTACGCAGGGGTACGCATACCCCTAAACATTTTGTGAATCTAAGTTTGGCCTGATTGAGGGGCAGTATTTCAGTATGAGTAGGAAAATGAGAATACCCCCTAAACATTTTTAAGGGGGGGAACACTGGCTAAAGGTATTGCCTAAACTGTGATTTTTTTATAGCACTTCCCACCAAAGTAGTTTGTATACCACATTTGGGGGGCGGTCTCAGGCATGGGGCGAATGTGACCCTCAGAGACCCCCCCCCATGGCTGTTAAAACTTCGCAGGCCACATCCGACCTGGTAACTGCAATGCATCCTTGACTTTTGGTAATGCCTGTAGCAAAACACGCACCTGCGATTTGGCTGCAAACCCCACACTCCCTCCCTCACCCCCACATTGAGCTTTACACACTGCACTGCTCAGTTGGGACCCATAAGCATTTGAGGGGAAGGGGATGCATTTGCCTTGGCCTCGCACTTCCCCGTTTTGGCAGCAGGCCCCACCCTACAAAGTGGAGGGGAGTCCAAACTCGGAAAAGGGAATGCTTATGGCATTTAGAGCCTGTCTTTGGGGCAAACTTAGAGGTGTGGATCCAGTTTGTAAAGTAGAAATGGAGCTTGATACTATGCTCAGCTGTGAGGCCATATTAGCGTACACCTATACAGATATAGATACATCTTTTTGGTTCTAGTGGGATCTCCAAGTAGCTCACAAAACACATCCATCCAAGAATAAAACCTTCAACTAAAACAAGCAGTCAGAATTCTAAAATGGCAGCACAGAAAAATAAATCACTCTGGCAACCAGACATTATCAGAAGGGCACCTAAACAAGACCTTTTTTATATTGGAAAACTAATTATTTGACAAAAAAGCAACATTTTGACAAGGGAAGGCCATCCAGACTGGTTTTTACTGCAGTATGTTACACAAAAGGCTATATACATGAGTGACTTAAAACATAGCAAGGTTGTCCCCACCTACCCACCACTGGTTTCAAGTTACATATGTACATTGCTCTACACACCAGAAAGGGGACGGGGGTGTCCCCTCTCAGTTGGGTGTCACCTGCAAATTGGACGAGCCACCCCTCAATTCCTTCATCCAAGCCATTTATAAAGACATTGAACAACAATGGGCCCAGGACAGAACCCTGCAGCACCCCACTTGTCACTTTATTCCAGGATGATAAGTAACCATTAGTGAGCACTTTTTGGATTCAGTCAGTCAACCAGCTACAAAGCCACTGAACAGTAACCTCCTTCAGCCTGCATTTTACCAACTTCTCCACAAGAATATCCTGGGGGACCTTGTCAAAAGCTTTACTGAAATCAAGATACACTACATCCACAGCATTGCCCTTATCCACCAAACTTGTAACTTAAAAAGAAAAGAAATGAGATTCATCTGGCATGACATGTTTTTGAGAAACCCATGCTGGGTCTTAGTAATCACAGCATCCTTTTCCAAGTGCTCACAGGCATGCTGTTTAATTATCTGTTCTAGGGCCTTTCCTAGTATTGACATCAAACTGACCAGTCAGTAGTTACCTGGTCTTATTTTACTTGAACAGAAGTAAACAATGTACCCAAATTTGGTCACTTACAGTTTTCCTTCTGTAAACATAAAGTACCCTAAAGAGAAACATCCCAAGAAAACCAAAATAAGCTTACAAATGGATTTATTTATTTTCACCCTGGGAATGTTAACATACCAGGGTTGGGGGTTGAAATGTGCCATGGAGTTTTTTGAGCAAATACCAATTCAGAGAAGCAGGGAAATGCCCTTCTTCTGACACACAAACACATTTTGCAATCCCAAGGACCAAGGCATATTTGAATTCAGCTTGGAGTAGAGAAATGCCCCCTAAAACTGTCACTTTGAAAGTTTCTGTTTCAAAAAAATAATGAATTAGGGTAAAAAGAATTGTTCCATGTGGTTTTTCAAGGAAAGACTGATCCAATCAAAGTGCTCTTATCGTGACTCAAAACACGTGGCTTTGTTTGGGACATTCAGCACCCCCAAGATGTGTTGGAAGTAAGCTTGTGGTAGCTGCCTTTGTTCTCTCTCTCTCTCTCTGGTTTTCACGGATAAAGGATTATGACTGCAGATCCAAACAATCATGGTTTTTATCCAAAGTTATCTTGTCAAAAGCATATGCAATGGGTGTTTATTGTTATTTGTTTTAAATTGTTAGAGGCCGTGATACCTAATTTTCATTTGCCGCCTGCAAGCAAATGTTATCTTGATTTCAAATGTAAAGACAGTGGTACCTTGGGTTAAGAACTTAATTCGTTCTGGAGGTCCATTCTTAACCTGAAACTGTTCTTAACCTGAGGTACCACTTTAGCTAATGGGGCCTCCTGCTGCCGCCGCGCCATCGTGCTGCGATTTCTGTTCTCATCCTGAAGTAAAGTTCTTAACCCAAGGTACTATTTCTGGGTTAGCGGAGTCTGTAACCTGAAGCGTCTGTAACCTGAAGCGTCTGTAACCCGAGGTACCACTGTACAATGTTTACATTTTCAAGGCCTCAGTACTAGTTAGAGGAGTTCGCACAACTCACAGAGAGGGGATATTTAAGGAAAGAGAGACTACTCTTTTTGCCTTAAGCAGTTTGTTCCTCTGAAGATTATCTGTTAGAATATCTACAATTAGTGTTGGGCAGAAATGGAAAATTGCAGATTGGCGCATGACATGGAATTAAGGTTAAAACACTTGTTGGGCTATGTGCTCATAATGTGTTGAACTTATCTGTTTGAACTCTTTATGCAGGAGATAGGGTAGTACTATATTTGTTATGGGATCAACAACCCAACCCAAGAGAATCATTTTAGCTTGTGCCTTGGGGAGTCACAACTAAAGCCATATTCAGTTTTCTAACACATTTAGTGATTTCATGCACCCTGGTCCTATGAAGGTTGACATGCAAGAAAGTCTGTAGGTAGAAATTATGAAGCGGGGTCCATTGTAATACAAACATTACAATGCATTTTTATACCCTTGGATTATAAGAACTTTAGGACAGTAAGAATTTCAGATAGATAGACACACACACAAAACACACACACACACACACACAGAGAGAGAGAGAGAGAGAGAGAGAGTTTTAAAATATTTCACCAGCCAGACCAGAATATGTATGGCTTATGAATTACGACGTCGTAGCAATTTCAATGTGCTTGCTCAGCTGAAGGGGCAGAGTAAAATCATAACTGTTTGCAAACTGTGGCACTCAGCTATAACACAGTTAGCTAAAAATGGTCCAGTAGCACCTTAGAGACCAATTAAGTATGTTCTGGGTACAGCCATACGTCGGGATAAATACACTTCAGGATAAGTACTTTCGGGTTGCGCTCTGTGGCGACCCGGAAGTAACGGAGTGACCCGCAGATGCGCTGTCGCGTCTTACGTTCTGTTCAGGATGCGAACAGGGCTCCAGAAACGGATCCCGTTCGCATCCCGACGTACCACTGTATAAGCTTTCATGTGCATGAAAACTTCTTCAGATACCAGTTAGCTCTGGTATCCAACTTAACCAGAAGCCAATTCATATAATCACTTTGGGGGTTATATTCAGTTAGGTCCTAATTTTGGTAGTTCTGCCAACATGTCGAAAGTAGTCTTCAGTACAATTTAACATCACAAAACAGTTAAGCAGAGTATCACTCATTGACTTTGCATCCTCACATCAGCAGCCGTGGAGCAGGGAATATTAATATCTCTTTATCCTGCCCAAGGCAACTGAAGGTGACTTACAACAACAACAAAGGATAATCATGCCACTGAAGGCCATCATTTTCTCAAGGCAAAACACTAAACTATTCTGGGGTTTTCATATCTGCCATGGCACCCCAGCTGCACCTTGGCCCTTGTACTGTGAGGTGAAGGAAACAGATTTCCTGACCCAGGCAGATTGTTCCTCTCTGTTTCCCTTCCCTTCCTGTGAATGTTCCTACTGTCACTAGTTGAATGTCATAAATACATTTAAAGCAGCCTTACACCACTTATCTTGTCACAGTTTCCCCCAAAGAATCCTGGCAACTGTAGTAATTCCCCAAATCAGCTACATACAGGATTATTAGTCTTTCTTTTTTAAAAAGATCCCAATCGCTTTACAATGTCTAACAAGAAAAATTGCCACAGAATTATTCTCTTACCACCAACCACTACTACACAGCTTTTGTAGTGCATATCAGCTATAAGACATACATGACAAGATTTAAGAATTTACACTCCAGCTAGCCTCCAGAAAGGAAGAGGCAGTTGTGCTACCTGGACGCTGCTACATTGCATAACTTCAAATAATAGAAGTTCCAGTGGTTTGCCTTGGACTATGTCCCCAGCTGGAACTGAACAGAATCTGATAAAAGCCATCTGCAGCTCAGAGAGGTTATCAAGCACCTCTGAGAAAACACCGACGTTCCAAAAACACCACCCAGTGCCTGCTTCCCTAGTAGGGCCTGGCAACATTCCCATTCATCAGGTGAGA